TGATGAGCATTTTATTAGATTCTGCAAGGTGCTGTGGAGTTTAAGTGCTTAGTTCAGTATTTGGTTAGGTTAGGATGTATTACAAATGCATCATTTATCTTTGGCATGAGTGTATGTTTTGGGTGAAATTAAATTTTCAATTAGGAATTTAACTTTCAACTAGGGATTTAAAAAAAACCCAAACATTAGCAGGACTCTACAGATCACATTACCAAATTTGTAGCACAGAATATCAGTTACCGTTCAAATTCTTATTTGCACAAGGCTATAGCACCTAACATCTCAAGCAATTTCTTTGGTTTCATTGGGACAACTTTTGTAACGAACTGCTATATAGCATGTGTATGAGAAGGGGCTTAGGGTGCTTACAGTTATCTGCTGCACCCAGTCTATGTTCATGCAGCTCACCTTAAGCTACAATGAATGTAGGTGTTCACCAATCCTGGGAGCTGTCAGGGACACCAGAGCATGTAACTGAGGGCTAGAGAGACGTCTGGGCCAGCGGGTCTGTGAGGGTGGTTGGGAGGAATGGCAGATCTGTGGTGAGGATAGGGTTGGTGGGTCAGTGTGGGAGGGAGAGGTTGCCTGTCCAGGGGTGAGAGTGTAAGAGGGTGAAAAAAAAGCCCAGTTGTACAGGTGTTCAATAGATTGGCTTAACCGGTTTCTGATCTAAGTTAATTCATTTCCTCAGGTGAACTTATACTGGGCCCACCATTTTTTGCCTAATTTAACCTCCCTAAATACCTGTATGATTAAACATTTAGATCAGCCTAAAATGTAAGGTAGAAAGGAATTAATGGTTTTAAAAAATGCAACTATATTACACTACCACAGAGTGAAGGTTCCATTCTGTATGTCCACTGTTTTTGGAGCTATGTCAATATATCGTTTGAACTATGGTGCATCTGATTCAAAACATGTAAAAAGTAAAAGATAATATATTTAAGGAGGGGAGTGTTCATTTGTGCGTGTGTATGTGCATATTTAAATATACTAATTATAACAGTAGCCCCAGTGTAAAACAACTCACCATTGGAATCTATTATTGAAGCATTACATATGAGTTAAGTGCTATGATTAAAAAATATATATATACAATTATTTTAATCAAAATAGAATTATAGATAACTTTTTTTTTCACCTACAATTTAACCTTTGCTGTCAGTGTATGTACTCTGGGATAAATAAAGCAACATATCCTTAATAATATGTCTTCATTAACTAAGCTTTTAAATAGCCAAACTTTTAAAAATACAAAGTCATACTGGTGTCATCCTTATGTAGCTTTCATGCTGGTTTATTACTTGTAAAATAATTCAGATTAATTGGATGTCATTGAAGCATTGGATAAGGTTCTTTAATATTCTGTTTTGTTTAACTTAATATTGGCATGTAGCATTAATACAAATTCTACTAAACATACAACCAGAATATGATTAATTATTTAACTGATAAGCCCAGTGATAACCAGTTTTGGCTTACCAGTTATTGATTAGCATGTGGCAGAGCACAGTCTGGCAAAAAAGTGGGGGAAGGGAAGCTGAGTGGTGCCCCAGCA